GCAGAGAAGGTGCTTCCCAGAACGCGCTGTTCTCACCCAAATTTGCAGCGGCTGATGTTATTGAGGTAAGAGGCTGGAGGCGGTGGGCTTTATGGGAGGATGCTAGCGCGGGCGCGTAGCGTAACACGCTGTTGTCGCATCGCCTGCCCCCTTGGTCCAGCAGTCGATAAGCCGAGGAAGCAGCAGCAGCGTACGACCGGAGAGTTGAGTCTTTACCTGGGACTCGGAGAGGGGGAGCTCTGACTGACGGGTCTTACCAGGCACCAGGAATTCAGAGGGCTCCTACTGCCGCAGCAAGACAGCCGCATTAAACGCGGCGAGGGGACGGATTTAACTTGTGCTGCCGGATCCCGGATGCGCTGCGTTAGGGAGAGTCGTGGTTTGTCAGACAGGGAGAACGAGGCTGGCTCTGGTGCTGACCCCAGGCACAAGTAGAAGGTGCTGTCAAGCACAGAGGATGCTCAGGACTCCGTGTCACTCCTGGCGTTCCTCGGAAAACCTAACAGCACTGTAAATAAAGGACCAGGAAATCTGGGTTACAGGGTAAAGCTTTTGGGGCACTTTGTTTCCTAGATGAGACTTCTCCGTTTCGGAGAAGCCGGGGGGTAGTGAAACAGCCTAAGTAAGCAGGCAGATCACACCAGCCCCAGCACCGGCTCCAGGGACTGTTTCCTAGGAGAGGCAGCACTCCCAGCAGCAGCACCTGAACACCCGATTCGCTGGGGAACAGGTGTTGATTTCAAGGTGTTTTGCTAACTCAGCCTCGAGAGAGAGGCACCGCAGGGTAGCAGGGAGCACGGAGAGAGGAGCCTCGGATGTAAACTGAAGGTGTTTGTGGCGTTTGGAAGCGGCACTGTCATGGTGTCAAGCCTGGTTTGGGATGGGGGAGTCCCTGTAGCACAGTCGGTGCTGCGGAGAAGCGCCATGGCAGTGGACGGCGAGATCAAACCGAGTGTTGGAATACAGCAGCACAACAGCTGTTTCCTAGGGGGAAAGAAGTCATCTAACAGCACCCTGTTCTTCATGGGAAGGGGGTTTGGTACACAGTTCTTACTTTAATATTAAGGAAAACAATGGAAGAATGTCCCTGGCACTTTGCTCCTTGTCTTGAAGGTGTTTCCTTGTGTAGTTACAACTCCTTTAAGACAGGAAGGTGCAAATCCTGGCACTTCCTCCTTGGCACAACAAGGGGCTTTTGGCACTCGGTGTGAACGTGTTGCTCGGCCACGGCGAGCCACGCAGGCTACAGCCCGGCTCCCCGTGCCCAGTGCAGTACACATACCTTAACGTCAGTCGTTTTACGTGATTCTAGGCTGAAGCTGCAGGCTGGGGTGAAGAAGAGGAGTTGAACTGGGAAGATGACACTAACTGGTAATGGCTGGACTGAAAGAGACAAAGGCAGTTTATGGCGTGTTGGATCCTGCGAGAGAAGTCGCTGCTTCCCCACTACAACAGATAAGTACCTCAGCACTGCTTTTGCCAGAAGGCAGGCCCTTGCCAAGATCCCAGTCTCTTGCCACGGATGCTCCTTTCCAACCTGTGCCAAAAACCTGCGGGGGTGAGGCCTGTGCTGAAGCAATACGCCCGGCGGCGCACGCCACTGCTACCGGAAGAGGAACGGCGTTGTGGGTGTGTTGGTGCTGACGTGCTACTGGAGGCCAAGAGTGGTGTTAGCCATTGTTCCAGGACTCATCCCTGCTCTGAGAAACTGATGACAATAAAGGAGAGTCACACCGAGTTCCTTGGTTAATGTGCCTTTTTCTTTCCCAGAGAAGTAAAGCCCTTAAAAGGTGCCATTTCTAACGTTTTAGCTAAGAGATGACTCTGAGATGAACGAACAGTTTACTCAACTGATTTATTCCTGTTTCTAGAGCTCTGTCAGCGGATGGCACAAGCGGTGCCAGCAACCATGCAGTAAAGTACCAACCAAACACAAGCTGCTCTAACACAGAGTTCTTTCTGCCCTTAACTGTGACCAATAAAAGATTATTTTTAAAAGGTGACCCTAGCGTGGAACCAGCAGCAGAGGTATGGTCAGAGGAGAGTACAGAGCCTTAAACTGTTATTCTTGAGTGTATTTTAAAAATCAAGGTAAAACACTTCCTGCCTGGTCACTGTATGGGACAGGAACAAAGGTAACTTGCAACATGTTCAAACACCTCGGTATTCAAAAATACAATCTCACAGAGCGTTTATCACCATACAGCAGAAGAGCAGTGTACAAAATGCCAGCTCAGATGCACAACAGCGTCCGTTAAAACCGTATCAGTCCTTCCAGGCAGTTACTGTGAAAGACAGGCCAACATCTCGCCCCCCAGTTCGTAACCGAGACCCTGCAGCACAGTGGGGCATCGCCCCGTGTTTCCTTCTCTGGCAGTCCTGGTACCGCGGCCTCTTCCCCCAGAGCAGGGAGCTGAGCTGGCTCGTGGTCTGCGGAAGCTGCTGGTCACCTTACCGTACGCTGTCACAGAGGATGGCTAGAGCTGCCTGTAGAGCCTCCAGTCTCCCTGCAAGCCATGTGGGGGGGGGCCCTTTCTGGAGCAGCAGCTTCACAGCCTCCACTGCCCCCTCCATTGTGCCTACTGCTGACTTATACTGCTCCTCAGAGGGTGGGTGGCACACTCTCTTTGCCAGCGGCTGCGGATTGAAGCAAACACGAGACATTTCACACTCTGCGTGTGTGATTGGGCTTTATCCAGATGCAAGAAAACCCTCAGATGGAGCAGAGCTGCACGAGCCTCGCTCCTTTGCCTTATGAGGTTTCTCGCCCGCTGGCAGGCAGCACAGAGCACTTGGGTAGAATACCAAGGGACAGGAGGGCACACGACCAACAGAGTCATCTGGAAGCTCTTTAGATACTTCCCAGAGCTGACAGACATCAGTGGGAGAGCCCAGGTAGTTTAAAGCACACGTACCTCTCCTGTGGACTCCAGCTCCCCATCTGTTTCCATGATGTGTGCGCTGCAGGTAATCCTCTCTCGCTTCACGCGTTCTGTCCGTGCTTCTGCTGTCTCTTCCACTTGCCTCGTCTGGGGAGAAAGCCACAGGAGAGGTAACTAAGCCAGGGCGGCGTTACCAGCCCTCGCGGGCTCAATGCATACACCAGAACGAAGGGGGAGGGAGACACCTTAACGTGCATTTCAAAGCAAACCCGATTTCTCACTCCTGAGCAGGAGGTTGAAGTCACCTGCATCTTTGACAGAGCAGCTCTTGGGGTTTCTTGCCAACTACCTGCTTGCCTAAAGCTGCGCATCCAGATAGCCCTGCCTTAGGTGACAGCATGACCGCCATCCCCTCCCCCACTGCGTTCTGCTCTTGGAAAACACTTTCTGAACATGCAAAAAGGCCCCAGATGTTTCCCACGCGTTCATTTAGCTTTCCAAAACTGATCCAAGGGAAGCAAGGAGAGGAAGTCACACAGCCCAAGTGATGAAATGCCTGTCTTTTGAAGAGGTAACTTGTCAGCTTACAACAGGAACCCTGCAGACAATGCAGGTGTAGACACAGGGCGTGTACTGCTTGTAACGGATGGGTAACGACATGAACTAAGAAAATGCACATACCTTAGCCAGAAAACTAATAACTTCATTCTTAATTTCTTCAGAATTAAGGCACTGAGGAACAACATCTTCGTGGCTTGTTTCCTTTCAAAAAGGTCAAGTAACAGTTGTTTAGTACATTCATATTAATGAAGGAAAATGTTTCTGTGACAGTCACTTCCCTGTTGCAACCGACCTAAGCAACCAATGCTTCACCTTCCTTCACTTCCAACCCCCAAAATCCCTTGGAACCCCATCAGCCCTCCTTACTTTTGATGTGCAACAGCATCTTAGCACTAACACCCAGACTGGCCAGTGAAGAGCAACAAATCAGAGAGCTGTTTGGGTTGGAAGGGACCTTAAAGATCATCCAGTCCCACCCCCTGCCACAGGCAGGGACACCTTCCACTAGCCCAGGTTGCTCCAAGCCTCATCCAGCCTGGCCTTGAACACTCCCCCAGAGATGGGGCATCCACAGCTTAAACACCGAGGACAGAAGAAATTCTGCAGAACAGAAGTGAACAGAGCCAAGCACATGCCATGCCTCCAACGTTCTGCTACGCTTACCTCTGCGAAACGTGTGAACGCCTCCAATGCATGCTGATGAATCAGCCAGGTCTGGTCAGCTAGCAGGGAAGCAAAGAGACACGACAACTGGGGTACCACCTGCCTCTGGAAGAGGAACAAGCATCCGTCAGATCCCAAGAGCGAGCTGTGCCTCGCTGACCATCGTGGTTTGTTACTGAAGTATCGCTCTAAGGTCAAGGGGCAGGTTTGCGAAACGCAGGGGCGCAACAGCCTTGTCTGGCAAAAACAAACACTGGAGGAGGTGACGTGTGCTGTTCTTCCTTCTCGGAGGTTCAAAGGTCAACAAGCAAACAAATAAACCATCCTCCGTGCATCAGTTTGTCCTGAGATAGAAAACTGCCACAGACCACCTCTCCAAGATGAACAGGAGCTGGCATACAACGTGATCCTTCGGCGTTAAATAAATAGCACCCTTTTCATCACAAGGCTGAAGGTTGCATCTACCTGTGCTTCCTGCGGTATAAACACCTTGCCCATGGAAGAGAGAAAATCCACCATCGCTAGACGAACGTGATCGGGGGGATCCAGCTGGAAGAGGGCAGACTGCAGCACAAACACCTGCGGAAGGGGAACCGGAGAGAAGCTTTGTCAAACGGACTGCAGGGGAAAACTCTCTCATCATTACATCCGAGGATGCTGACCTTGGAGAACTGGACTGAAAACAAGGCGGTGTGCTACACCTTGGACACAAGGGCTAGGATAAAGCTGCTGCAGGCTTTTTAACAAGAAAAGAGCTAGAAAGCAAGACATAAAATTGGGAACCTCCAGGTGTTAACAGGAGGCCAGAGCATGAAATAACTCATTGGAGATTTCAGTAAATCACAGAGAACTTGGTTTTCATGAAGGAAATTATTCATTAAGAAGGTTTTAAAGTTTTTCTGTGTGTTGTTTTCTTCTTGTTTGTTTTGATTAGGTTTGATTTTTTTTTTCTTGTTTGGTTTTGTTGGTGTTAGCTTTTTTTTTGTTTTACCTGAGTAATCAGTTGAGCATCTAATGCTTGGATGAAAAATTCCTGAAGGTGAAGTAATAAACAGAGTGTCCGCTGGAAATGTGGCTCATCTGAGACCTTCAAAAGATAACAAGATAGCAGTAACGTTGCAGATCAGTTTAGGAAGTAACTGCTTAGAAAGCATTCCACACAAATACAACACCGCATCGTAAGCAGCAGCAGAAAATACCAATATTTTGAGGTAGTCATATTTCACAGGACCCTTTTCTTTGACTTTGGTTAGTATTTCTTATCCCTCACGTCCTCCCGCCGCTCACTCATATAAGCAGCTATAGGTTGTCTGAGCTAATTTTCATTTATCAGTTGTCAAATGCCTTCACAGAATGGCTGAGGCTGGCTGATACCTCTGAAGGGACACGCTCTTGGCCTTACCACCTTGTTCTGAAAGATGGAAGGTTGTTAGCTCTGTGGTTTTTATAGGCTAGTTACATCACCATCGGAATCGTAGAATCACAGAATGGTTTGGGTTGGCAGGGACCTTAAAGATCATCTAGTTCCCCCCCCCCTGCCATGGGCGGGGACACCTTCCACTAGACCAGGTTGCTCAGTTTTGTTTACATTCTAATGAACATTTAAAACAGGCCAAATTTGTACCCGGTTTGAGACAAGATGAGGTATTTCAGACTTCTCTCTAAGCAAGTCTGAATCTGACACTGAGAAACGGAGTAACGAGGAGCCATACACACAGCATTCAGGAAAACTCAAACTCTGCTTCCCAGAGCACGCACCTCTGTAGTACCTAAACCAGTGGACAGCAGACGGGTAGAACAGCTACACTGTACTTTACAGACACGCACCAATTTGAATAAAACAACCACAGGATGAAACAGCACCAGCCTCTCGGAAACATCGTGCTTTCATCACTGGAGCCACCAATTCTCTTACCTGCTTAGCCTGCAGAGAAGTCCAGAACTGACCGAGCACTCCCAAGACAGATGCCTGAAGTTCTGCCTCCAGAGTGTCACCAGCAAAATTGCAGGCTGCCAGCAGGACAGAAAGGGCAGTATTCTAGTAGGAGAAAAACATGTGTAAGTCTGAAAAAACCCACTACATGTAAACCAAACCAAAGCCCCAGGCTCACAGCAAACATCTAAGATGATACAGTATGGGAAGAAGCCCAGTGTGCTGCATCAGCTGCACAGTACAGCTAATCCACCAGGCCCCTGGCCAATAAGCCTTCCAAAGGGAGGAAGCTCTCCAGTACTTCCGAGTTTCACAGTGCTGTGGTTGTTAGTTGCACTGGCAGGCAAAAACTGCCAGAGGCTTCACGTGGAAGTCTGGTTTCTCACACTCCTCTCCTTCACCAAGGAGACCAGTGAGCATCTTTCAGATTTGATGCCTTAAAAAAAAAACCAGCCAGGG